GTAGCCGTTCCCCGTCTTCCGAGAGCTCCCCGCAGCAGCCCACGCCCCCTGCCCGGCCCCGTCACATGCTGGGGCTCCCGTCCACCTTGTTCATACCCCGAAGCATGGAGAGGTGAGCCTTCAGAACGGGCCACTGACCTTTGGGTGGTCAGCTGGGAGAGGGCTGCTGGGCTAGCCCAGGGAGGAGGTGGGGGAGGATGGGGGAACCCCTGTGTGTTGGGAGCTGGGGTGGTCTCAGGTTGGTCAGGACCCCCCTCCACTCACACCCTCACCCTGTTCCTCCAGTATCGAGATTGACCAGAAGCTGCAGGAGATCATGAAGCAGACAGGCTACCTGACTATCGGGGGCCAGGTACCACCCTCCCCCCGGCCCCCGGGCGGTGGGGGCAGACACAGTGGGGCAGGTCTACGTGATAGGGCAGAAGCTGGGCAGACCCTCAGTCCTGATCCTCTTCACCAGCGCTACCAGGCAGAAATCAACGACCTGGAGAACCTGGGGGAGATGGGCAGTGGCACTTGCGGCCAGGTCTGGAAGATGCGCTTCCGGAAGACAGGCCACATTATCGCCGTCAAGGTGAGCACCCGCCCGCCCAGGTGAGTCCCACGCCTCTCGGCTCTGGTGCTGAGGGCCTCCTCCCCTCCCCCTGCCATCTGTGCAGCAAATGCGACGCTCCGGGAACAAGGAGGAGAACAAGCGGATCCTCATGGACCTGGACGTGGTCCTCAAGAGTCACGACTGCCCCTACATCGTGCAGTGCTTCGGGACCTTCATCACCAACGTGAGCCTGGCTGCCCGGCCCTGCTCTTCTGCGCTCCCTGAGTCTCTTGCCAGAGAGTGTGCCCCCCCAGCCCCTGTTGTCTTCCCCTGATGGGGGTGGGCAAGAGGGTATGGCCGCCCCCAAGCCTTGCCTGCTGCCCTTGCAGACGGATGTCTTCATTGCCATGGAGCTCATGGGCACCTGTGCTGAGAAGCTGAAGAAGCGGATGCAGGGCCCCATCCCCGAGCGGATCCTGGGCAAGATGACGGTAGCGGTGAGTGGCCAGGCCGGGGCAGGAGGCCCGGGCCCGTCTCCCCCCTGCCAGTCACAGTGCCCCTCTCCCCTCGCAGATTGTGAAGGCGCTCTACTACCTGAAGGAGAAGCACGGTGTGATCCACCGGGACGTCAAGCCCTCCAACATCCTGCTGGACGAGCGGGGCCAGATCAAGCTCTGCGACTTCGGCATCAGCGGCCGCCTGGTCGACTCCAAAGCCAAAACACGGAGCGCTGGCTGCGCTGCCTACATGGCAGTAAGTGGGGGCCCGGGCGGCCTGGGCAGTGCACCCGCTCCAGCCACAGGGTCCATTCCCCCTTTCCCTGCCTCCTCTTCCCTTCCCCACCTCTTCCCTGCAGCCTGAGCGCATTGACCCCCCGGACCCCACAAAGCCAGACTACGACATCCGGGCTGACGTGTGGAGCCTGGGCATCTCTCTGGTGAGTGGGGGCCCCCCCTCCTGAGCTGGGTGAGCTGTTTCTGGGAGGACAGCAGCGAGGGAGTCTGTTTTCGACCAATCCAGCCCATGTCTTCTCAGGTGGAACTGGCGACGGGACAGTTTCCCTACAAGAACTGTAAGACGGACTTCGAGGTCCTCACCAAGGTCCTGCAGGAGGAGCCCCCGCTCCTGCCCAGTCACATGGGCTTCTCGGGGGACTTTCAGTCATTCGTCAAAGACTGGTGAGGAGCTCTGCCCGGGCCTTCCAGGAGGGGGGCAGATCAGGTGTGGCCCCAAGCTCCAAGCAGCCAGGGAGGTTTGGGGTGGGAGGATGGAAAGCCTGCCCTCATGGGGGTTGGTCAGAAGGGGCTCGGGGCAGGGCTGCAGGCAGGAACCAAAGCTTTGGGAGCCATGACTTGGGTTTGGACTTGGCCTGAGGTGCCAGCTGGCCCCAGGGCATTTGGCTGGTGGCCTGGGGCTTCACCTCAAACAAGCAGAGGGGGAGAGCTGTGAGCATCCTGCACCAACTAGCAGAATTATGCAGGCAGGGCGGTCACATTGGATTCTCCCTCAGGGAAACCCTCCTACTGGCACCTTACAACGTTCAGGCCCCGGGTCCTCTGCGGTGTCCCAGTGGGTGACACGGGGCAGGGCAGATGCAGTAGCTCCTCCCCCCCACAGGCTTTGCAGACCCCTGGCTCAGCAGGTGGACCGGCTGCGCCCCTCCAGGCTCTCACTTCCCTTTCCTCCCTTCTCTCCCCAGCCTTACTAAAGATCACAGGAAGAGACCAAAGTATAATAAGCTACTTGTGAGTACCTGAGGCCCCTCCCCCCCTCCCCACCGCCTGCTCATCTGGACACCCAGGGCCTGGGTGAGGCCAGCAGCTGCCCTTGCTCTAAGCTCCCCCTCGGGCCCCGCAGGAACACAGCTTCATTAAGCGTTACGAGACGCTGGAGGTGGACGTGGCGTCCTGGTTCAAGGATGTCATGGCGAAGACCGAGTCACCAAGGACTAGTGGAGTCCTAAGCCAACACCACCTGCCCTTCTTCAGGTAGCTGCGTGGCGGTGGCCAGCCCCACTGGGGGGAGGGGCCGGAGAAGTGGCCACAGGTCCCCTCTTCCCTACCCAGCCACCCAGCTGCCCGCCAAGGGAGACCTGGGAACTGGATGGCCGCCGAGGGCTGAGGACACAAAGTAGGGGATGCCAACCCGACCCCGACTCCCTACCCAGCAGCCACGGACAGATGGGCCCACCAGGCCCTAGCCCTTCCAGGCCTGGGGTCAGCCGGCTGTACAAGTCCCCCCAACAGACACTGTGAACGGAAGACAGCAGCAGGCCATGAGCGGACTCGCTATTTATTCATTCGTAACCCCTGAGCTGGGGTGGCCACCAGGGGCCAGGAGAGAGTCACCCTTCTTGCATACTCCCATGCTGTCCCTCCACCTTCGTGGTACACATGCTCCCTGTCTCTGTCTGCCTCTGTCACCTCCCTGATGCCTCTCTGATTTTCCCTGTCTCCCTTCCTGTATCTGCCTCTCTCCTGGCCCAAGCCCAGGCTCCGTTACCCACAGCAGGACTCCTCGGTCCGCTTAGGGCTGTGGCGAGCAGTGAGTCCTCTGGCTGGCATCCTCGTCCCAGGAAGGCAGGCTGGGCATTATGACTGCAGCTGACCCAGACTGGGGGCTCTGGCGCTTGCGCGCTCTCTTGCTCGCTCTCTCTCTTTTTCTCTCTTTGATCTCAGGGGGTCCTTTTTGGAATTTATTGTATTTTATTGTACTTGGTGGGGTGTTTGGGGGATGGGGAGGAAGAAGAGCTTGTTCTCATGGGGTTTGTCAGTACCTTCAGAAACTGTTACCAAAGTCATGTTTAGCTGCTGTGGAATCGCCCCCAACTCCTGTGGGCATTGGGGGGCTGGAGCCAGGTCAGGGCCTGGGCCACTGTGCCTTGTCAGCCTGTTCTGGAGAGACTAGTCCCAAAAGTGGGTGCTGGGGCGGGGGCCCCTCCGTTAGGCTGGGGACTGGCCACAGCGTGGGGTGAGTTGAGGACCTCAGGCTGTGAGGAGGGAGCCCAGGGGCTGTGGCCACACAGGGTGGCCTTCAGGGAAGGTGGGTGTGGGGCATGTGGGAGGCAGTAAATGCTGGTGCGGAGGAGAAGGGCGTGAATGGCAGTAGTGGGGTCACAAGGCCCAGGGAGGCAGGGATTGAGTGTATAGGGAATGGATGTGGGGGTTTGAGGATGTGTGACAGGGACAGAGTGGGGCAGGCCTCGGGCTGGGGTGTAAAGGCAGTCATGCCCTCACAGTGCCCCTGAGCACCCCTCAACCCCCCAGAGTTGGCCAGTCCCCAGCCCACCTTGAGGATAGGCCATGGGGCCCCTCTTCCCCCCGCCCCCCTCAGCAGCAGTCAGAGCAGGAAGAGGGGGGTGTTCCTTTTTTGTTGGTGATGCATGCAAATAAGTGGACAAACACACAACCAGCCAACGCCAAAGGTGATGAGCTCCCTGGATGTAGCCGGAGCAACGTAGACTCAGCATAGGCGTCACTGTAACTCTCACTATCCTATGGACTCTGTTACTCTTATAGTCACAAAGGTCGCATGTTTAAACAGTACTCCTTGTCTTCTCTCTGCTCCCCGGGGGGCTGGGGTGGCCATCTTTCTTGCCCAAATCCCCCTTGTGACTGGATGGGGCAGGGCAGAGGTAGGTGGGCAACAGGCCTGGCTCCACCCTCCGGGGTCCCAGCCAAGGGGGCTTTTGCCCATAACCAGAAGGTCAAATGGCTGGTTCCAGGGCCAGCAAAGGTCAGATGCCGGCTGCCGGTTTATTTTATTTAACTTAATTTTGTTTATGAGTGTGTGTCTGCCTGTCCCTCCCCTTCAGTGTTAATTAAGTGGGAGGCCTAGGGGAGCCTCTCCTCCCCCTCCCCACCCTCCCCTGCTTCCCCTCCATCTCCAGTCACCAGCCGTCCTTCTGGAACAGGCAGGGGGCTGAGCGGGCAGGCAGGAGCCTGGGGTGACGTGGCCCAGCCCACCAGCCCATGACCCCTTCTCAGGCCGCCAGTATTGCCCCTTCCCTTTTTAAAATGAAACACCCTCGTTTGTAAATCCTTAGATGCTTGAGAATAAAACCTCTCCCTTTTCTTCCACTGAGTCTGTGGTGTGATATGGCCTGAGATGTGGGAAGGGTCTGTAAGGACTGGGAAGTGGTGAATTCTGGTGGATAAGGTCTCTGCATCAAAAGGGAAACTGAGGCAGGGCTGTGGCTGGGAGGGTGGTCTTGGTAGTGATTTGCCCAACATCAAGCAGGCAGTATGGAGAGACACCCACCCCCCAGTAGCCAGAGGTGCTGCTGGAAAAGAGCTCTTAATCCCTGGCTGGCCTTGGGAGAGGGCTCTGGTGTCAGCCGCTGTCTGCCACCCCCGCTCTTCGCTTCCCGGAGTGGCTGCCCAGCCAAGGACAGGGACACCTGCTTACCTGCCTGCACTGGCGCCGCTGCCTCTGGCCCCCACACGCTTCCCACGGCCAGTCCAGCATGCTGGGCGCCGCGGTCCTGCTGCTGGCCCTGCTCCCAGGGGTGCCCACCGTGCCCAGCGGGCCGCCTGGTATGTAGGGATTGGGCAGTACGTGCGCCTTCGCGCTCCCATTCCTGTGCCACCTTTCTGAACCTCCCATCTGCCTTGCCTTGGGGAATGGGAGGGTGGGCAGTGGGGTCCACCTCTGCCCCCCATTTCCAGGTTCTCTGGGATCCCTAACTTCAAAGTTCCCAGCAGCCACGTGAGGCCAAGTACTGTGGGGGGAGGGGTCCGTGCAGATACTTTTAGGGGATGTGTGTGGGGCCATCATGAAGCAGACGTGTGCACTGCATGTGCATGTCCTCACTGATGAGAAGACCCCGTGGGCGTTCCTGGGCCTCTCCCTTCACTGCGATGCCCTCGGCCTGAGAGGGAGGCATCTGGACACAAGGAGAGCCTGGTGGCCTGGCCAGGCTTGGGCTGTGCCGAAGGGCTGTGGGAGGCACCCCTTTCCCTTCCCATTGCTTTGATGACAGCACCCGCTCCCCTCAGAAAGAGAAGGGTGGGGCCCCACCCCTGGCCCTGCTGCGGCTCCGGGCTCCTCGGCCCCTTCCCAGCCTGGACTCCCCTGGCTCCCTGTGGGGAAGGAAATCGGAGTCCAGGGAGGGAGCCTCTCCCAGGGGCGCACAGCTTGGAGCACAGCCTCACTGCTGGGCTGCGATGCCCATGGGTCCCCGGGACTACATCACAGCTGGTGTCCCGCCTGCGCTGGAGGAGGCGCCCAGCGTGAGTGAACTCCCCGCGCTACACCTTCCAGGGGAGGCTGGGAGATAGAATCCTTTGCTTGAGGGCCCAGGGGGCAGCCCGCACTCCTCTGTGCCCTCTTTCTGCCCCGCCAGCGCCCCCCTTCCCAGGGGCGCCCGGTCCGCGGCTGCGCCGACCCCTTTTCCACCTAGAGCTGGCGGACGCCCAGGACGCGTTCCGGCGCCGCGCGGGGCCGCTCGAGGTGCCCGCGGACAGCCGCGTGTTCGTGCAGGTGCGGGCGGACGGGGGGCGGCGGGCGGCGGGCAGGTGCGGGCGGACGGGGGTGCGGCGGGCGGCGGGCAGGTGCGGGCGGACGGGGGGCGGCGGGCGGCGGGCAGGTGCGGGCGGACCGGGGCGGCGGGCGGCGGGCGCGGCTGTGTCCTGAGGGCACACTCCACCCCCAGGCGGCCCTGGCCCGGTCCTCGCCGCGCTGGAGCCTGGCCCTGCACCGCTGCTGGGTGACGCCCTCCTCACGCCCGGCCCCGGGACCCACCCTGGCGCTCCTGCGAGGGGGCTGCCCCGCCAACTCCTCCGTCACCTTCCCGCCGCCACGCCCGGGGGCCGCCCGCTTCAGCTTCCGCCTGCACCCGGTCTTCAACGCCTCCGTGCAGTTCCTGCACTGCCAGCTGAGCCGCTGCCGCCTGCGGGGAGCCCGCCGCGCTCCCGCGCCTCCGACGCCGCCGCCCCAGCCTCCGGTGTGCGGGCAGGACGGGGGTCTGCTCCCCCGGGGCCGGTGTGGGGCGGGCAGGAGGGGGGGTCTGCTCCCGGGGCCGGTGTGGGGCGGGCAGGACGGGGGTCTGCTCCCGGGGCCGGTGTGGGGCGGGCAGGACGAGGGTCTGCTCCGGAGGCCGGTGTGGGGCGGGCGGACGGGGGGTCTGCTCCCGGGGCCGGTGTGGGGCGGGCAGGACGGGGGGGTCTGCTCCCGGGGCCGGTGTGGGGCGGGCAGGACGGGGGGGGGGTCTGCTCCCGGGCCGGTGGGGGGTGGGCAGGACCGGGGTCTGCTCCCGGGGCCGGTGTGGGGCGGGCAGGACGGGGGTGGGGTGGGGGGGGTCTGCTCCCGTGGCCGGTGGCGGGCCGGCAGGGTGTCTGCTCCCGAGGCCGGTGTGGGGCGGGCAGGACTGGGGTCTGCTCCTGAGGCCGGGTGGGGCAGGCAGGAGCACCTCCAGCATTTGGAGAGGAGCCTCTCAGTGGGGAATCTTGGGGTCAGGACGCTTTGGAGCCTGGGGCACGGGTCCCTGGGAGCTGGGGGAGGTACTGGGTCTCTCCCAGGCCGGCACAGGGGCTCCGCTCAGGGTTCCTCAGTGAACGTGGTGTAGGCACTGAATTCCTTCCCGGCCAGAGCACCAGGACCCCTTGGGCGGGCCTCTGAGGTCCCGCCAAGGCGGGTGGTTGGATAAAGAAAGCCACTCAGGGGCCAGATCTCTGGGCGCCTAAAGTTGGAGTCCACAGGTTAGATTAGGGGTGTCGAACTCAATCAGAGAAGGGGCCAAAATCTAAAATCCAGCCTAAATCGCGGGCCAAATGGTTTACTGAACAGTCATAAACTGTCATTGTGATGGAAACGCAGCGGAGTGCAGTGATGACAGCGCGGTGCGGGCCACATTGCAAGGCCTGGCGGGACGGATTTGGCCCGCGGGCCTTGTGTTAACCGTTAGATGCTCAGAGCCGGGTACTGTGACTTCGTGGGCTGACATTTGGAGTCTTGGGGGCTGTGCGGCCAGCTGCTTGGATATCTAACGGGCTGGGCTCGGGGACCCCCACGGGGTCGGATTCACAGGGATCTAGTGGTGGGACACAGCTCTCTCAGGAGCCCTGGGGAGGAGCTCCTGGGCCCCGGGCCCTCACATCCTGCCCCTTCTGTCTCCCCCACCCCCAGCAGTGTCTGCCTCAGGAGGAGGGGTGCGCCGGCGGCGGCGGGAGCCTGGGCCCCCACCTGCACACCCTGACGCAGCCCATCGTGGTCACGGTGCCGCGGCCGCCCCTCAGTGAGCGAGCCCTCCGCAGGGTCCCGGGACAGGAACACGGGGGGGAGGGCTTCGGGGGCCTGGGCCTAGTCTCCGCGTGGTGCTCCCCACAGGGCCACCCAAGGGCGCGCCCGGCAGAGCCGTCCGCCCCCAGCCTCCTGCGCCGGCCCCGGGGGCCCTGGAGCCCGCCCCGCTGGCGGCGCTGGTGGCGGCCGCCTTCCTGTTGGGCGCCGCGCTGGTCGCCGGGCTCGGCCTCGCGTGCGCGCATTCAGGTACCACGCGTGGCCCGCTCACATCTCCCGTCCCCCCGGAACTCCCAGTGCTTGGGGGCCGTGGGTCACTGCGGGCCCAGCTTGCGGGGCCTGACCATCCTTAGACCTGCCTCCGTTATGCCCGTAGCAGCCCCCAGGGGGCGCCCCTGCACTGGGCCAGCGTTCAGCTGCCCCTCCTGCTCCGGAGCCTGCCTCTCACCCCCAGCGCCCCCACCTCCCAGCCCACCCCCGAGAGCCTCGCCTAGCGACCCCCAGCCCAGAAGACCCCAGTAAGGCAGGTAAGTGTGTGTGTGTGTGTGTGTGTGTGTATGTGAGTGTGTCTGTGTGTGTGTCTGTGTATGTGACTTTGTGTGTGTGTTTGTGAGTGTGTGTGTGGGTGTCTGTGAGTTTGTGTGTATGTGAATGTGTATGTGAGTGTGTGTGTGAAAGAGTATGTGTGAGTGTGTGTGTGTGAATGTGTGTGTGTGTGTGTGAGAGTGTGGGTGTTTGTGTCTGTGTGTGTGTGTGTGTTTGAGTGTGTGTGTGTGTGTTTGTCTCTCTGTGTGTGTGTGAGTGTGTTTGTGTCTGTGTGTGTGTGTTTGAGTGTGTGTGTGTGTGTTTGTGTCTCTGTGTGTGTGTGTGTTTGTGTCTCTGTGTGTGTGTATGTGAGTGTGTGTGTGTGTGTGAGAGTGTGTGTGTTTGTGTCTGTGTGTGTGAGTGTGTTTGTGTGTGTTTGTGTCTCTGTGTGTGTGTGTGTCTGTGTGTGTGTTTGTGTCTGTGAGTGTGTCTGTGTGAGTGTGTGTGTGAGTGTCTGTGTGTGTGTGTGTGTGTGAGTGTCTGTGTGTGTGTGTGAGGTGGCCTACATCGCCCCTTCAAGGATGGCGCGCCCCAGCAGAGCCCAGGGACGCACCCGCCTGGCTTATGTTGGAGCAGACGCACCAGTCTGGACCGCAGCCTTCCACCTCGGACCCCAGGGCACGGCGATCCCTGCACCCCGCCTCCTCCCTCCTCCCGCCTGGACTCAAAATAAACACCTGGTCTGGCACACCGTTCTGAGGTCTGCTTGGGCGCAGGGTTGGGGTGCCGAGCGGGAAGCGGAGGCTGGGCGTCAGACGGGGGTTGTGGGCTGGAAGAGGCCCGGCCTGGAGAGTTAGAGCTTGGGGGCGGGCTCATACACCCATAGCGGGTCAGGGGAGACCCGGGGGCGTTTTGTCCCAAACAGAAAGGGCACCAGACCACCCCTCCCCCCAGGTTGTTTTAAACCCGCTTTCTTCCTCCACCCCAGCACCGGACCGCCTGCCTCTTTAGACCTTCCCATCTTCCCAAATCCAGCCTCCTCCGTCTCCACTTGCACCGCCGGGCCCTGCCCTCGCTAGGACCTGGACCTCCGGCCTCTGCTCCAGCCCCCTCTCCCCTCTAGCCTAGAGCCCCCTACATCCTTCCTGCCCGAGCTTCGAGCGCCCCTGGGCACTGACAAGTGCGAAACGGCTAGTTCCATTGTGCAGATGAGGAAACTGAGGCCGGGTGCAGCTCAATCACTTGCTCAAGGTCCCCGGAGCTGGCGACCCCACAGCCCAGGCTCTTGGCTACGACAGGGCAGGCAGCTGGTTCCACAAGACTCAGTCCAGACATGGCGAGAGGGCACGCGATCTCAGTGGGCGCCAGAGTACAAATGAGATAAGATGGGGACGGGGTGTGGGGTGGGGGAAGACCATGTTCGCCACCCGTTGGGATGCTAGCCTGCCAGCCTCGCTCGTTTCCCAGCCACGCCGCTCCCTCCACCTGGCAACCCAGAGCCACGCCCCCGTCGGCGTCCGCTTCCGCGGCGCTTTGGGCCCCGGCAGCCGCCGTAGCCCCGCCTCCAGGGGCGCGGCCTGGCCCGCCAACTCCGCCGTCGCCGGCATGAAGCCTCCCCCGCGGCGCCGAGCGGCCCCGGCGCGCTATCGGGGCGAGGTGGCCGGCGCCGCCGGCTGGAGCGCCCTCGAGAAGCGGCAGCTGCTCCGGCTACTGCAGGCGCGGCGGGGCCAGCCGGAGCCAGACGCCGCCGAGCTGGCCGGGGAGCTGCCGGGCCGGAGCGAGGCCGAGGTGACGGGGTCCCGGGGGGAGCGAGGCTGGACGCGGACCTGAGATGTGTGCCGGGAGGGGTGTGGGGGGGACACCGGGAGGAGGACGAGTGGCGGGGCGCGGCCTGGGCGGGACGACGCGAGGCTGGGGCCGGGGTGAGCTTGGCTGAGCGGCCGGGCGTGAGCGGGGCATGCGTGAGGCTGGGGGCGTGGCGTGGGCGTGACTTGCGCGGGGCGGGGGTCGGGGCGGGGCATACGCGAGGCTTGGGGCGGGGCGTGGGCGGGGCCTGCGTGAGGCCGGGCGCGGGGCGGGGCGCACTGCGAGGAAGACTGAATGGAGACCCAGACTGGGTGGACGTGGCGTACGGTGCAGCGGCGCTAGGCGGGAATGCGGTTGAAATGAGAATCAGGAATGGGGTGCAGTGGACGAAAGGGAGGTGAAGGAGGTGAATAGGATAGCTGCAGGGAGGTGCCCGATAGGCCTGGACCTTACATTTTTATGAGGTCACCTGGTCCTGGACCCCAGACCCTGGGCAGAGTCTCTGTGACCCTTAACGTTGGGCTTTGGCCCTCACCCCGAGCCCTGGGTTGTAGAAAGCCCATTTGGTCTCCTTTCTCTTCCCAGATTCGGGATTTCCTCCAGCAGCTCAAGAACCGTGTGGCCCGGGAAGCCATTCAGAAGGTGCATCCAGGTGGCCTAAAGGGTCAAAGGCATCCACCCCCAGCTCCCATCGAGGTGAGGCCGGGCAAGGCTCTCTGGAAGATGGGTGGGAGTTGGGAGGATAACTTGGTCAGAGGATCCTCAGGAAGCGGGGAATCCTGAGAGTTGATCCCTAGGCTGACCATGTATTTTCTGGTTGCCCGACCCAGGTGTGGATGGACCTGGCTAAGAAGATAACAGGCCCCCTGGAGGAAGCTCTGACCGTGGCTTTCTCACAGGTACAACCGTCCCCCAGGGAGGTGAGGGTGTCCTTAGGGTCAGGGTCAGACACAAGAGCCTAAGAAAGGTATGGATCTGTGACCTGGGCCCTTACACCTTGAGCCTCAGTACCCCTCCTTTGAGGTCATCTTCTGTGAGCAGGTGGAGGTGGAAGCCTCAGCAGTTAGCAGGGCAGGGGCTGACTGGACTTCTGCTTTTCCTTCCTGATCTGTCTGCCTGCCAGGCGCTCACCATCATGGCTGTGGAGCCCGTCAGCCTCCTGTACTCCAAGCCGTCCAAGCCTACGCAGGCGCGTGGAAAACTGCTGCCCCTTAACACCCCCAGCAGACGAGAGAACCCGAGCCCTGGGGCTGGTGGCCCCACCCCTGAAGCACCTGTTGGCCCCTCTGCTGAGGGAGACCTCGAAGTGGACTTTGAAAAGATCTACAAGTACCTGTCATCAGTCTCCCACAGCTACCAAGGCCCTGAGCTTTCCCCAGCCGGTGAGGATGGGGGAGGGGGCTCTGGTGGTGGGGTTCAGGCAACAAGTCCTGACCTTCTCTTACCCTTCTCCTCGCCATCCACCACCAGAGTCAGCCGTGGTCCTTGACCTGCTCATGTCACTTCCTGAGGAGCTGTCTCACCTGCCCTGTGCAGCCCTGGTTGAGCATATGATGGATACATACCTACACCTGATGGCCCCCCAGTCTGACCCCGGCAGTGGGAACCTGGGACCAGAAGCTGAGGTTTGTGGGACTGGCTCTAGGGGGCAAGAGGAGTCCAGTCAGGCCAACCCCCAGGCCCCTGAGAATGTCAGGCCCAGCAAACCGAGATCTGCCTGGCAAGTAGCTGGGGTTTGCCCCCTGAACCCATTTCTGATGCCCCTGGAGCTTCTGGGCCAGGTAGCTACCCCTGCAAAGTGAGGGTCCCAGCAGATCGAGCACACACCAGACATCTGTGGCTCCTGGCCTTCAGCACTGCTTGGGCTGGCACTGCATCTTCACGAGAACCTGGTCCTGGTGGGAAGTCCCTCACTCGGTGTGCAGTGCCAAGTGGCCTTCAGGACGTTCCATACACAGGGGTCTCGGCCACGGAAGTCCAGTTCGTGTAGGAGTTCAGCCACAGATCTTAAGTGGGGGCAGCCAGGTGGCTGGGATAAAACCATCATCACATACTGCCCCCTCCTTTCCTGCATCCTGTTGCTTTTGCCCTATAACTGAATAAAGTTGTTAATCTGTCTCTTTTTTTAAAGATAATTTTAGACAGGGAGAGAAACATCAGTTTGTTGTTCCACTTATTTATGCATTCATTGGTTGATTCTTGTATGTGCCCTGACTGGAGATTGAAACCGAAATCTCGGCATATTGGAATGACACTCTAACCAACTGAGCTATCAAGAAAAATTGTCTCACTCTTTTTTCTGTGACTTAAAGGTGACAGAGCCCTGGCTGGTGTTCTGTGTTTATAGAGTTGACCCATGCATCGAAGAGTCACGGGTTTGATTTCTGGTCAAGAGTGCATACCTGGGTTGCAGATTCGATCCCAGGCCCTGGTTGGGGCGCATGCAGGAGACAACCAATTAATGTCTCTCTCCCTTCCTCCCTTCCACTCTCTCTAAAAGTCGATGGATAAAATATCCTCCGGTGAGAATTAACAACAACAAAAGTGGCAGTGATGACTCATAGTACAGAGGGAGATGTTGGAAGTAGGAGAGCTTAGGGTCCAGGGGACTGAGGGGCATGCCAAGGAGGAGGGTGCAATCACCAAATGCTACCACTGCCAGGAGTGACCTCAGTTTGGCTATGAGGGGACCCTTGGTGATTATGTAGAGGTCAAGGCAAGCTTTAGCTTGAAAGGTGTTGGGAGAAGGTTTTCTGAGTGGCGGGGGAGGGGGGAGCAGCACCAGCAGAGAGAGAGTGTGTTAGGCAAAATGAATCTTTGTACTTAACTGGACAGTCACTAGGACCACCAGTTCACCCCAGAAGGGGTGGGCCCGTATCACCTGGAAGGAATGTTCATGCATACACAAGTGGGTCTGTTGCCACTTGGCTATCTATATCACACCTCCCCCCGCTGCTGGTGTGAGCCACTTCTGTCCATAAGTTCCCTTATAAACTTTATATATATACATTTTTATTGATTTCTGAGAGGGAAGAAAGATAAAAACAACATAAGCATAACCAGTGGACATAGACACCAGGGGGATGAGGGCATGAACGGGAGTGAGGTGGGGCCAATAGGGGGATAAGGACACATATGTAATACTTCAATAAAATAAATTGCTGGGCCTCAGCAGGGCCGGTGTGGCTAAGTGGTTGAGCACTGACCCAGGAACCCAGAGGTCACCTGTTCAGTTCCTCATCAGGGCCCATGCACGGGTTGTGGGCTTGATCTCCAGTAGGGGGTATTCAGGAGGTAGCTGATCGATGATGTTTCTCTCTCGATGTTTCTATCCCATTCCTTCTAAATCAATAATAAAAAAATATGAGAGAATGATCGGCTGCCTCCTGCATACCCACTACTGGGGATCAATCCTACAACCATGCATGTGTCCTTGACCAGAATGGAACCCAGGATCCTTCAGTCCACACGCCAACGCTCTTTGTCTACTGAACCAAACCAGGTAGGGCCCTTATTAAACTTAAAAAAAAAAAAAAAAAAAAAATAAAATATATATATATATATATATATATATATATATATATATATATATATATATATATATATTACTCATTTTCTACAGAGAGGAAGGAGAGGAATAATTAGAAACATCAATGAGAGAGATTCATTGATCGGCTGCCTCCTGCATACCCTGCAACCAAGGGATGTGCCCGCAACCAAGGTACATGCCATTGACTGGAATCTAACCTGGGACCCTTGAGTCCGCAGGCTGACGCTCTACCTACTAAACTCCGATGTTGTCCAAGGCTGAGGGGCCTGGGTTAGGGGTCGGCTGTCCCATGTTGCATGTTAGAGAGAGGGTCCTCTGAGGTAGCTTTGGGGAAGCAAGGGGAGGAGGAGCAGAGCTGGGTAGAGTAGGGAGTTGGAGTCTACCTGTTGACAAGGGCCCCAAATTCCTAGAGGTGCTTTTGGGTTTCCTCTACAGCCTCCAAGGGTGTGGGTTCAGGGGAGGGCAGAACAGGAACCAGCGTCCTTCCATGGAGTGGCATTCCCCCAAGCCTAACTAGTCCACTGAGAGCCCGAAATTTTCCCAGAGTCTGCATTCACTCAGCCTTCCTTTTATAGAAACCCCCACTTCTCCCCACACAGTGCACACGCTCTCCCGGAACGCACAGCACACTTCCCAGGTGGGTTGTGGAGTCAGCCCACTCCATGATCAGGACTCCACCACACACACACACACACACACACACACACACACACCAGACCCATGGGTTCCCAACGGCACGTGATGATGTCGGGAAGGAGACCAACGTCGGAGGGATCTGGAGCTGAAGATGTAGTTATCGCAGCAGGAGGCCATGCCAGGTCTTGTAGGGCTGGTTGAGGGCACCCCATCCTCACAGCCCACTCAACTAAGTCCATTCCCCAGAGTCTCCCTAAGTCAAGGGAAAGAGGAGGGTGTCTTGGCTGTGCCTAGAGCCAGGGGTATTGAGGTGGTAACACACCAGTC